ACCGGCGCTCGTAAGATATAATCATGCATGCCGTTAATACGAGTCAGCAGTGGCTTTGAAAGATTTCTATCTCCGGCTTGCATAGCAAAAAAGAAAAAAGGCAAAACTTACGTGGACGTTCTCGCTCATTCCCAGTGCAGCAAAAGGGTCGAAGGACGGCCAGGTGCGGTAAACTACTATCTCTCTAACGGGTCATATTTGCTTCCGAAGTTATCTGCGTAGACTCGGACATGATAGCTCATCAATACGCCCGAATTGTGTAGATATAGCACAAGATATGAAGCATGTGATTCTCAATTGGCCAAAATTGACCGCAAGATAGTAGAGGGCATTGCAATATGGAGCATTTTGAATTGTTTTGTGACCAAAGTACTATAGAATCCATTAAGGTTCCTCCGGGCGTCAAGCACTAACGGGAACCAAAGAGAGTATTGATCCGATATATAACCAAAGAGAATAATAAAATTTCTCGATATTTCTTGTAGGGGAAAACGTATAGTAAGCGGCTCTGACTAAAACACTTTTTGTCGTTCTCTTTAAATAATAGTTTTTCTCATATAAGGGCCGGTATGAGCTTTTTTCCCTACATTCCTATGTAAGGTTAGATCATGCAAAGGTAATTGTCCGAAATGACGCCAAGGGTCCCGGATTTCATTGCTTACGATGTGATTATGAGAATTTTTAACTAATAACCGCGACTCCACTCAAAAAAAAATCTACGGAAAACAAAAACAGTATTAAATAGATATAACGGCCATAAGGTATAATAAATAAGAAAGTTATGTTTCAGATACTTTCGACAATAAAGACATGAAAATCGATTGAACGTAATATATCTTTCCAGTTAAATCTCTTTTAGTATATTGTACTAAGAAAAGCGTTTTTTAAATAATTATAATTATTTTTTAAGCTTTCACTTTATTACGATTTAGTCTATCCTAAACGAATGAAGAGTTTTTCTAAATATTTTTCTCCTGATTACTTACATAAAAGCGCAAAACAACTACAATTTAATTTGAAGCCTCAACTCTTACCATTCTAAGCATTGCAGGAGTATTCAGGCAAACAGTTTGCTGTGCTTAAATCGTTTTGCTAAACATAAAATCGAATTAGGGTTTAGTGTGCTAAAGTGATCTGCGATTTTCACAGGAACCGATAGCATACGCTCCCATTTGCTTCGAATTGAAAATTCTGATTTATTTAGTCCTTCGATTTTCATTTTGCAATAGAAAATATTGCGTTTACTACCTCGAAAATTAAAACAGAAAAAAAAAATAATAGAAAACAGATCATATCGGATTCGAAGGCTATTAATTTTAAACACATTATGAGCGATGCTCTGATGATAATTTTTTTTTTTTCTTTTGATTTTTGTAATAAATAATAAATAAATACACTACGACAAGTCACGGCCCACCACCTTACAGTTATTCGTATAACGATTTATCAAAATAACGCTTTATATGGGAAGTGATCGGAAAAGTGTCCCGATTCGAACCATTTTTAAATGTACTCGGCTTTGGGCCAAGACGTGTGGGTGTGCTAAATTTTATCAAAACAACTACAGCATTGCCCACTGTGGACTAAACGCAGAAAAACAACGCGAACAGATGGGCAGACAAATTGAATCAATATAATAAAATATTGCCCTATCTCAAATCCCTCCGAGTTTTACATACATCCTCACAAACACAAAATGTACTTTCATACTACAAGTGTAGATATGTGTATATCATATATTCAAGAAATTGATTGTAAAAATCCTTATAGTTCAAAAGCGATGAATAAATAAATAGCTTTTTTTTTTGTATTTTTTAAGTTATTATATTATATTTTAGCTAAATATAGAAAATAAGTACAAAAGCAAAAAATCCAGACGTATTGCCGTCCATTCTTTGGAAGAATAGTTTTGAGACTTGCTTGGAATAATTTATTTTATGTATGCATATTGTGTGTGTGTGTGTTAAATGGTTTTGCAAAAAAAACAATAAAGAAAGATTATGCATGACGTTATAATATGACTGACTATCAGTTTGTTTTTGGTGTTCGAATATATAATTGCTAAATATACAAACGCGTCATAAAAGACAAGAGAATTTATTTATTTAATTTTATTTACGTTTTGTTGGATCTTAAGTTAAAAAATTCACTGCACGCTCAGTATTCACCATGTGATGAACGATGATAAAATCATATAAAATTCTGCGTTAGTCAGTTAACGATTTTAAAATTGCCATCAGTGGCAAAACAAATTAAGCCGTGCCAGGCCAAGCCAGGCCAGACCATAATCAGTCAGTCACACGCAGCGCTTATTATAAATTTAGTAAAACGTTGATTGTTATCACACAAGACTTAAGCATATATATATATATATATATACATATATATATACATATGAAAAATATATATAGCCACTTACAATACATACATATATAAACATATATATATATATATATATATATATATATGTGTGTATGTGTATGTATATATATTTTTCATTGTGCATACATATAGTTTCTCAATAATAGCATACCATTAGAGTAGATGATATATATCGTAGTGTACATAAGTCTATATATCTCGTTGTACATGTGGCCGTGCTTGTATATGATTATATTTTATGCACATTTTTTCTCATTGTATTCAATTGATATGCACATCAAGTATGTGCAACAAGTTTTTTTTTTCGTAACAGGTCTCTTTTTATTTTTTTCATTTTTTTTTATTTTTATTTTTATTTTTTTGCTTTGAGAGTACAATGTATTATCTTACTTAAGCTATTAAATGTCGCGTTTGTGGTTTTGTACTAAATTCATGATTATTGTTATGTTAAAAGCTTTGCTATATATATACATATATATTTTCGTTTTATTTTAATGGATATAAACGAAAAGCAAAGGCGAACGAGTCTCTCTTTCCTTCTTCTCTTTTCCTTTTGCTGTCGATTTTTAAGGCGAATTTTCACTATCCTACTCCAAGAAAATTACAAACATATATTTGTGGGAATAGTTCCCGTAATTATCAATGCAATAAATTAGCTTTCTCGGGTTTAGTTCATCATAACCATCGTTGATTGAAGGAAGCTCTCTTAAATTCATGTTTATAAATGAAAAGTACCAGACTGATTTGAACTTTTGCAATCGAAATGGCCACGCCATTGAATTGAATATTAAATATATAAGTTAGGCTGAAGCGTTTCTTTATTTATCGATATAAAAAAAATAATTATTTTTTGATAAATATATATATAGCAAAAAGTTAGACCTAATAAATATTCCGGGTCAAATATCTTTTATCTGTGTATTTTAGTTAAATTTTGAGTATTCGTTTTTTAAATTTTATTGTGAAAGTGTATTTAGAAGAAGATGAGACAAATTTTCAAGAGCTATAGCCATATTATTGGGTGTTGCAAGAATTTTGGTGATTTTCGCACTTGAAAAAGGCATTTATTGTGGAAATTTGGTACAATAGTTTCCATCATTTTCTACAACGTTTTACAATATTTTTGGCAAGAAGCGATCCATCGACTGATCCATTTTCGCACTTCTTCAACTTTGCAGATCAGTGAACACACTGCCAAGTCATGCGGCACCGATCTGAATAAATGGTATTCCATTTGTGCTGCGACAGCGTATACTGGACAACTCTTCCAACAAATGGCCAAAAAATGGCATTTTCAGTCAATTCGTGTCGCCACTTTTAAGCCGTTGAAATCAGAACCGACAATTGGAATATGATGGGGCAGTACCATCAAGCCACTGAACGTGTTTGTTGGGCTTCGGCAGAAGATTTCTTCAAATAGACAATAAAAGTAATGAATTTAGAAGAAAAAGAATTTTGAACCCTCTATAACTAGCGTCGTCGTGCGCTAACTAAGTCAATAACATTAAATGGAATACTGTTATTTTATGCAAAGAAAGGTCAAAATCATCGAATTCAATCGTTACGTACCCTAACATTTTCCATTTCTTTATCAATTTTGCCAGTAGAAGTCGTTACAAAATAAATATTCTTTTGTCTCCTGAATTCCTATTTTCAATTGTATCGATTACATTTTCTGTTCTACTAACACAGAAAAAACAAGCTTACAATCTTGATATTGTCTGTTTACATTTTTGCTTTTTCAACATTTCAAGGATACCCGGTCGTTACCATTAACGCCGCTAGTTTTCTTTAAAATGTTGCTCATCAATTCCCATAAACCAATTGGACTAAAACTAGCCAATCGCAATACTAGTCAAATCGTTTTCCTTAATATTTCTGCTTAGTGAATTTTCTTTTTCAAGTAATGTCTTTTAATGAACAATTTCTATTATTTTTTTAAATAAAATTATACTTATTTTTGACTTTAGCTAAAGCCTAAAGGCTTGCTTGTGAGTTCAAATCATTTTTCTTACCTTAGCCTTTATAAGTAGATGCCATTTAAAAGTAATGATCAAAAAGTTTTGAAAAAAAATATACATGTATATTGTTTGTTTCTTTCTAACACAGGTACCATGTATGCCTAAAATTTCACTTCAACGCAACTGGCACTTTCACTTTTCATTTTTTTAGTTATACAAAAAAAAACTGTACTTTATTTTTAACATATTTGTATAATTGATATCTTGTTTAAGTCAGACAAAAGAAAAAATGAGAAAGAAAAGAAAGAAAAACCTACTTGTGAATTGTTTTTGTGCTTAATTTTCTTTTTCTCTTATCTTATCTTTATCGTTTCAATTGTTTTGTGCCATTGTGTTTTGTGTTTGTACCACCCATAAATCCTTTCAACTACGTACATACCTTCCAATCAATCAAACAACAAACCAACCGACAACAATCTAACCAACCGACCAACCAAACAACCAATCAACAATAACAACAATAACAACAACAACAACAACTGTAACAACTACAAAATTCATGCAAAACATCTAAATGTTGTGTCTTTGCGTTCATAAAAAACGTTTGCTCGTTAATATCTCAACCATGAACCTTTCAAAATGAATTGACAAGAGCAGCTGGGATTGTTTAATTTTAATCCACTTCAGGTTTGTTGCTTAAGTCTTTTGTGTACACAATCTCGCGCAAGCATGCAATTCACATACACACACAACGAACGTACAATGAATGCTGGTAAATAATAATTGTAATTGCAATTGCACTTTTTACAAAATTCACACACAGTGTAATGAAATCATAGAGCAATCACAGCAACAGTAACAGTCGCACAATAGCACCAAATAATATAATAGCAATCATAATTTTAATATAATATTTTTTATTTCTTGGTGTTATTGCAAACGTATTGTTTCAGTTTGAGATTACAAAACAACGTTCACAGAAGCCCAGAAAACATACAGATATACAGATGCAACAACAACAACAATAGCAAAGCCTAAAATACATTTCACTTGAAATTAAAAACTTGAGAAAGGTGTTAAACCACCAAATAAGTTCATATCATTGAGAGGCAATTAGTTAAACAGTCTCATAGACACGACAATTGAACAATGACGATAAAACGGATGTAGGGAGTTATATAAAGATAAGAGGGAAAAAACAAACATACAAACAAACAATCACTTTTGTTAATTATTTTGCAGCATTTGCAAAAGTGATTTATAAAGTTACAAATAAAAACACGTGCAAACACACACACACTCTCATATGCATAAATACATGCATACGCATATAAAGTTTTGTAAGCAACACACTACACATCATTATCACACCTTGGCATGAATATTTTTAAGCAACAATGACAATAACAACATCTTCACTTTATAGTTTATGTTAAAGCAATTTTTCACTTATTTATTTATTTATTTATTTACTTATTTTTTGTTTTTTCCTTTTTGTTTGCAAAAAACCAAGCTTAAGATTATATTTATGTTAATTTTTTGTTTGTTTTTGAAAGGTGTGTCATCATTTTAAATGTTACAAAACAGAGTTACCAAACCTAAGTAATTTCATTTTTCCTTACTCGTTTATAATCAACAATCATCATCGTCATCATTGTCATCGCTTTAATCTTTATAATCATTGCATCTTTGCTTTCTTAATCAACATTAAGATTTGATTGATTTCATTCTCTCCACCATGAATTCCACTTAAGAGCACATTATCGCCAATATTTCAATATACAAATCCCCTTATCCTTATATAAATCCCTTTATTCTTATATATACATGCATGTAATACATTGTAGAAGAGAGAGGGATTAGCATCAAAGCTTTTGAAATTATGAATATTTTCGATATTCTCAATGAATATTATCCAGCAATAGACAAAATTTTCATATATATAAATAATACCGTGATCAGCTATTATGATCAATATTCAAGTTAAATTGCGCTGGTACATCAAATGCCAAAAATATTTTTTATTCTAAATTGGTAGAACTATCACAAATATCATCAGCTGCGTTTAGTTATCGAAGACGCAAAAAGTATTTTGTTCTAATTTTAACTATACGTGATTTTATTGAGCAAACGGGTTGCATTAAATTTTATTTGCGAAATGAATTTTGTTGTACAAAAACCGTTAGGATGTTGCAGGGAGCCTTTGATTTTGTCCGAAATAATTGTTTACAAATGATAGAAACAGTTCAAAGAAGATCGAGAACGAAGAGCGTTCCGGATGATCAAACTCTATCGATGAGTGTTACGTCAAACAAGTCACACATTCGGTGCTCAAAAACCGTCGATTGGCCATTAGGAGTTTTGCTGACACTATGCGCATTTCAAATGAAGCAGTGAACAACATTTTAAAAGATATTTTGAGTCAGAAACGTGTCAATTCGCGGTTAGCACTAAGACCACTCCGTTTCTGCATTGATTCGGCGAGACCATTTCGTTAAAAATTTAATCCATATCGTTCTACAACCATTGGATTCGCCTGATTTAGCCCCAAGCGATTTCTAGCTATTTTTTAAACTCAAAAGACTACTTCGAGGAGCATTTTTTAACTGGATTGATTAGTCGAGAAGCATCTTCAGATTGAAATTCCGCAGATCGCACTTGCAACACACATTTCGCTTGTGCTAATCTCTTCGCACTTGGATTTTTATCTACATCTCAAAAATTTTCGAAGGCCATTCCGACAGTCGATTCTCACAACTATTTCGAGGATAGAAAAAATTTGATCAACATTAATAGTGAACCGACAAGCATTTACAGATTGAAATTCCGCAAATCGCATTTTCAACACATATTTCGCTTGCGGCAATCTGTTCGCATTTGGATTTTTATTTATTTGCCTTTTATACCAATCACCGAAGGATGAGGGATTGAGGATTCCGTTTGCTACACGCAGACGGAAGCTTCAGCGATCCCACAAAATATTCGATCAACTCCAAATTCGTAACCAAATTAAGCAAACTTGTCTGTCCGTCGGTCTAATGTCTACTCTACACATTCGCCTCTCCGCAAAAATGAAGCTATTGGTTGAAAAAAAAAATCGGTTGAAGGACATGCCAACACAGTACTCTTTGAACTGAGAGAGAACGCGTCTGTTTTTCAAAAGGAATAAACGATTGTTTTTTGCTCATTATTCATAAATTGCAGCAGATATTCAAACAAAAGCGGAAAAAATCGACCACGCGTACCCAATTGTATAGAGTGTCATAGTTTAATTTGTTTTTTTTTTTTTTCAATAAAATTTTGGGCTCATGAAGAGATAATAGATATAGATATCATAATAAATAATCATTTAAATTGTATATGACGTGTGTTGTCTTTTTTTGTCGTTTTGATAAAAAAAAAAAAAACACAAATCTTAACCACAAATTTTTTTTTTTGTTTCATTCTTATTGACTAACTAGAAATATTTATTTTGTTATTTGCACTCGTATATTCCATTGTGTATATATAAATATACATATGCATACATGTGTATATGTGCGTATGCGTGCATGTGTGCAAATGAATGTACGATATGTATGCATGTGTATTATTTAGTCTCTTTAGTTGAAAAATTTTTAACTGCGCAATAGTTAGTTTCTCTTTTAAAAGACGATGACAACAGTAATAGCAACGAAAAGACGATTTCTAGAATGTTTCTGATAAATTGCTAAATCAAAAAACAAAAATATGCTAAATATAGTAAAGCAAATATACTAAAAAAAGATAACAAAAATTAATGAATAATTAAATTAAGAATATCTAATAAAAACAACGATAAGATTTTTGGGTGGAACGGTGAACTTTGTATAAAAATTGTTTATTTATTTGTTTTTCTTTGTTTTTTCTTTAATAAAAAACTTTCCAAGCTTAAATTTCAAACTCGTGCCCGCTGCTTTGCTGCTGCAATATATAAGCGTTTTGAATTTTTCATCATTATTTATCTGTAATTAAATCTCCGTATTATCAAAACATATATGATAAAGTCCATCCATCCATCCGTCCTTATCTTCTTCAAACTGAGGAAGAGTCTTCAAACAAGAAAGAAATTTCTTTTTTCTTTGTTTTCTCGCACAACTCAATTTTATTCCTTGGGACGCAAGAGTGACACAATCCGCTCAGCGGTTATCTCACTAACATTTCAATGCCTTTTTCTGTAGAGCAATTCATTAATCACGGTGTTCAGAGCATGCGTATGAGAATATCGTATGAAGCATATGATCGCGTATGTGTTCTTCTTCTTTGGAGAACACGATCACTGTGGCAGTAATGCGAACTTCAATTCATGAAATTTTTGCAATTACAGCCATCAACTTATGCTGTTAGTTCCTTTGTGAACGAGTGCCCAAAACGACTTTCTCTTAAGATATTTTTTGATATACTCACTTGGTGTGGAAGTCTTCTGTGTTCAGCATCGAAGTTATACGAAATGCAAACTCGTTTGAAATCAGAAAACCAAGGCCGACGGCCTTTGATGCTGGTGCAATTTTTTTTGTGTTGCATAAAAATTAATTTTTCGGTAAACTTTGCCCCGTAGCAAAGGGTCATTGGTCGTGGGTTCATATATCAAGTGCGGTATAGTTTTCAATAAAGCCGATAATCTCAGACGCTGGATGCTAAACAACGTTAATAACTGGAAAAATATAAAAAGCTCTTAACTTTTGACTGCGTTTTGATTCAATCGTATTTTTAATTTATGTATCAATCTTGGTGACTGGTGTACGGTATCTTTGGCCTTTAATAACGTACACCGGCTTCCTAAATAGAATTGATACGCCCAAAACTATGCTTAAAACAATTTAGGACATTTTTTTTACATTTAAGTATATTACTGTAAATACTGGAATTTGTCTTGCGCTTATGCCGGTTCCAAATATCGCAAAAAAATTTGGTAAATCTTTTATAAATATTAGGTTGTTTGGAAAGTCATTTCGTTTTTTTTTCGCAACAGGGGACTTAATCGCTTTTTTTTCCCAGCCAAGTTCATATTTGAGACGCACTGTCTTCATATATTTTATAATTAATACCTTAATGCATGCGAAATATTTTCGTTTTGTTTCGGAGCAAAAGTCTTCGTTCGTTACCTTACTGCTGTCAAAAAAATATTTATACACTATGAAGAAATCAAAAAAACGAAATTTCTTTCCGAATTCCCCAAATCATAATAATGCTAGAGCTACGTAGAAAAATATTGAATTTATTGAACACGCGATCAGTTACCTTGAACGTATGTTTCTTATTGGTGAAAACCATTTCTTTTAATTGTGGATGCGCCCTTAATAACGCGATCTATAGTATGGTACTTTACTATCCATAACAAAGTGAGTTTCTCTTTTTTCCTTTATTCGCCCGGAATGTGAATATGTTGAAAAGTTTAAATAACTTTTCTTTCACTCAAGCGAAGAAAAAATGTTCACAGTTTTTTCAACATGTCATGGAGCATGGAAATGTTCATCAAATTATGAGAAAACGTTTTAAGGAAATTCTATTAAGAATGACTTTTAAAAGTATTTGTATTGTATGAAAAGTTTTACTTATTGGTCAGACGAATGTATGTATATGTGTACTTGTGTTTTTTAAGTTAAATGAAATCTTTTCAATTCAACGTAAAAGATAAATGTGATAAATTTAAAGTTCAAGTTTTCATTTATTTATATACAGAAATTTTTTTGTAAAAATTCTACGCATGAAAGCGTTTTAGAAAAATATTTTCAAATTTTTGCGTAGACTAATAATATATAGTTCAATGCGCTATGCATTTACTTATGTTTCTTTTGAATGTTTACACGTTTTTCTTTAGATAGAGCATTTTATTCTGTTCTATTTTTGTTTAAGTTGCTTTTCGCGTTAATTCAAAAGACCTTAACCATGAAACTTAAAAAGAAAAAAAAAAGAACCAAAAATGGTGTTATAAGCAAAACCGACCTTTAAACTTGGTAAGCCGATAAAGTGATATTGAAAAGCATTATGGAATTTTTCTACTCGTCATTGCAAATTATTTAATAATCAATGTGAAAATATTTAAATTGCTTTCTAGAAGTTTATATAATAGATGAACAGATATGATAGACAGCTTGATTATCTGTATAAGTGTTATGTGCTTTTTTTGATCCTGGGAAAGCATCCAAAGCCGCCCATTTTGGTCAGTGCGAAACTTTAGCCAGCTAAAAACCATCTAGTCCTATCCCCACTCTATGACACGACTTACAAATATATCTTCACAGAACGGGTTGCCGTTTAGGCACTATTGAAGAGTCTACGTTGACTTCGTTGTTTGGTTTTTCATTATTTTCGCGCGAATACTCTAACCGCTTTCTATTTTTTCACATTATGCAGCATATTCGTCACGAGATTGTCAGCAAGAGATAAAGAACACGTTTTCACCGTCTTCCGATCATTTGCAATGCCATGTTCTATTTAAGTAAGTTCAGTAACAATCATGATCGCTTACTAATTGTGTTAGATGAAAGTCAATCTCACCAGACTGTCTGTTAAATCACGGCCATAGATTAGGAGTACGCCGTTGCGTTTAAGTACATTTCTTCGAACTGGTGCAGCACTCTTGCTATTCTTTCACCAAGTGCCATTTTACGCAGCATATAGCCTCGTTAATCCGCAACCTTTGCAGTTTGGCTTTATAGATGCATTCTTATGATATGCGACGCCGAAAGCCTCAGAACGCCCAGTTGATATGCTGTCTGCATGCCTCTTGTATACAACGGTGCCGCACTTGCCTTTTTTTAAATGGGAGAGCCGTATAATACCACTGCTTTTACCACTTCTACTAAGTTTCAGCGGTCTTGTCTTGGGCTTAGCATGTTAGGTGCTTTGCTACATCCAATGGTTTCTCAAACGTATACCACAGATTTTGTTTTGATGATAGTCTGCAGCCGACCACCAAATCCAGATAATTTATGACATCTAGATATGGCTTGTGGATAGATAGAATCAGACCGCAGGACAATGAACAAAAAATAAGAAAGGCAGAAAAGATAAATTTTGCAAATGCATTAACTGTACATAAATTATGTTATTAATAAACAATAGATGCCTGAATGCATTGTTTAATTTGAACACACATTAATAGAAGAGGATATAGATAGTTATCGGAAGTATATCAAAGCTTATATTATTAAAAATTGCATATATACATAAATACTTTGAGTAGCTGAAGTAACCATTGGACGATGTATACATAAATTGATAGATACATAACCGCTTTGCAACAAGTCTAAAATAATAAAGAGAGAAGAGAATATTTAAATGATTTGACGATTATCTTGGCAGGAATATAGATTGGTTCATTCGTTCCCATTCCACATATGCATAAAGAAGTTGATTATTAGAATTACTTATTGATAAGCAGATTAGTTGTTCGAACTAGCTATTATATAATATGGAGAAACGGATTGATATATTGTTTGAATGAGGCATATGTTATTAGATAAATAACCAAAAAAAGGGGGGAATATTAAGTGAATAAATAACATATCCTAAAGCCAAAAACATATTAAAAAGCTTGTTAATTAAATGATCGGAGCTTTTTACAAAAAAAAAAAAAAAAAAAAAAAAGAAGCAAAATCTGTTTCGATTTATTATCCTTATACTCAAATATTTAATGATTTTTAATGTTTTTGTGTTTTCTCTTGTCTTCCTGTTTTCCTTGTTTAGGCCTATAAACGTCAATCGAATTCAGTGAAAATCGCCAAAATCACTGCATTCACTGTAATTATATCCTCGTTTATATTGGGTTCATTCATATTGGCCTCATCATATTTGCAGGCGAAAGCCTCTTGTGATCAAGTGCAGGCACTTGATTCCGTTTTGGAGAAGGAACTCATGTTGGAAACCCTACAACAAGTTAATAAGGTAAGCGTGTCAAATCCATTAATAATTTATCTAATTTAAAAAGCAATCATTTATTAGTTAATTATAGTATAAATATTTCCTCTTATTATTTATACTGTACTGCATGGTACTAGGTACATGTAGTGTTTTATTTATTTATTTTTTTTTTTTTTTTGTTTTTTGCAATTTCCATTTACACAAAATTTATTGTGTTTGAATGTTATCATTAAGGTTTTGCTGTTTTTTTTTTTTTTTTTTCAATCCGCCATCAAAACATGCAAAGCCGGCACGAAATGCATGGAAAAGTAAAAAAAAAATTTCCACAATATTTAAAAATTTTTTTTTTTGTAACAGTCATTGCACACTGTGGGGAATTGTTGTATTTACATTTGACAGATGACTTTGTAATTACTGCTTAATACACAAATTTATGCATTAAAAGGTGTTTTTTTTTTCACAAAATGATTTTAAAAAAGTCATTAATTCGTTGTTTGATTAGTTTTGTAATAGTCTGTTGACAATTATTGCGGTGAACTGAAGAAAATAAATGACTTGACATGAAAAATGCTTTTTATTGCCATAAGTATGAGACTGAACTTCTAGAAAACGCATGCTTATCGCTGTTTTCCTTTTCGAAAAACCTAAGAAAACTAAAGAGAGAAAAAAAAAGGAAAGAATAAGAGAAAACTACGTTATGCCTTCAGGCGACGTGAGAGTCTTGAATACCTAGCAACCTACGTACATTTTTCATCTATTGTAGATATGCCAGAAGATTCTGGTCGTGATTATTACCATCATAACCCATGTCTTTCGCTCGCATTCGCATTAAATCTCAAATTAATATGCGAAGCGAATAAAATATCTTCAAATGTCTGATCTAAAATCAATATTTTAAAAATCAATGAATTGATAAAAATCTTTTCTTGTTTTGATTGCCGTAGGAATATTTGTGGATAATGCTCACTTTCAAACATAATCTATGAATCAACTCATTTTGTTATTCGCGAAGTCAAACTAACTAAAACACACCTCTCAGCGCGATTTTTATTATTATTTTTTTTATTATATTGTTTGGATCTTGGCACTATTTGCGGAAAACAATACATACATGGTTATACGGAACATAGAGAAATTATTAAAACTTATTACGAAAACAATAGATCCCCGGTTACGTTTCGTGCATGTGGGATGAAGCTGATGTCGCGTTGAATGACTTCGTAAATAAGAATTATTTCCCACTTTGTGTAAAGAAGACGAAATCTAATGTTCCTAAAGGAGAAATAACTCTTGGTTATGCTTTGCGGGCTCTAAATGTCATTTTTGAACATGAAAATTTCATTGCAGCTATCGTCAATGGAGAATGGAAAAATTAATGGTGGCAAAGAAAAAATGGTGTTACATGCCATACATATCATGGCTTCGTCAGCTTATTACAAAAAGTTCACCGACCATTCAATCTCCAAAAATGCTTACATGGTCTTGCCTCAAAGATCATGCGGTATAACTCTATTGGACATTTTACCTTCAATTTATGTTGAGGCATACTTAATAAGATCTCTCATGATTCTTTTTGAATATTGTTACATATACAATGCAAAGTTTCGTATATCCTTTCGATAGTAGAATAGGAAGAAAATTTTGTGATTAATTTCCACTGTTGAAATTAGTTAAAGAGGAAGTAAAGGAGAAAGTATACGTAACGGGTGCAGGTTTTTTTTACCACATTTCAGTTATGCTTAACTTCACATTGAAATTCCGCAGTTGTTTTACTCGCGTGCGCACATGCAGCAATCGTACGTAGTATCACGCATTCGACATATTAAGAAACTATACGTGGACTTTTGCAATGCGTACTATAATGGTAAATGTTTGCAAAATATTGTTCCGGTAAAGATACCAATTATTTAATTACTCAAGTCAATTTCTTCAATAATCGGGCATAAGTATAAGAATAACGAAACCAATGCTCGAAAGAGTTTCAGTTCGCGTATAGGGATTTATATTCAGCCCTAAAAAAAAACCTAATCAGTATATGAAATGATTTATTGAGCCATTGGCCAACTATCAACTACGAATCATAAGACCTAAAAAGTACCAAAACGTTACTCAAAAAGTTTATGAAGACCGTGTTCTGGATTAAAAATTGGATCGCGCATGTAATTCCATGAGCGAAGAATACGATATGAATCTTCTTGAGGTCGTCAATGCTAAGATTTCGCATAGTACGCGCTGTCTCATCGAATTTCTTTCAAGAATATTCTCGTGCGTCCATCCGAATAAGGTCCGACTTACTGTCATTTGCTTGATCCATGCACACGCATTTGTCAGTCATACAATCTATGATGTAATGAACATATAATTATTCGATATTCAAAAGTTGCTTCAAGGTGTTTCACTTGTTTTTAATACATTTTATTAGATTATTTAAAATATGTTCCTTTTTGAATCACTAACATGCGTTTTAAACAAGTTTCCAAAATTTTCAATTGTCTTAATTGAAAAGTTCAATAAAATTTATTGTAAATTATAAACGAAAACGAAACGAATTTACTTCCAATACATAGTATTTAATTTAGTATTATCTTCTTCTTTTTTTTTTTTTTTAATTAAGTAACATTTCTCTAATTAATTGAAAGCTTAAATGTTACGGACTAATATGGAATTGAGACTTGACTTTCAATGTTTATACTCTACATCATTTGTGGTGCAAGGGTGTATGAGATTAATGCGGATATATGCAATACCCAGAAAAACTTGAGACAGACCAACCTTTTATTATACTGATCGACTCAGATTCAATTTCTGAATCGATTTAAGTTCGTCTGTCCGTCTGTACGTTTCGTTTTCTTGCGTTCAGCCTACGGGTCACAATTCTGGAGGCATTTTGATGGCCCAACGATAAACGCTTTCAATAATGGTTTAGATTGGATCGCTTTTTTGATCACTTCTCCTGCCTTCTTTTGGAAAGTCCTGCACGGATACAAGTAGGGTGTTTGTTATGGGCCGTGACCATCAGGCACAATTTTTGGAAATATTTTCAGGTCATTTATTCAGCACTTTCCGTACACTTTGAAAAGTCCTTATATGAACGACTGTATTAAGCGAAGTGATGCAAAGTATTTAACGGTGGGCCATGTCCGATAGAAATGTGGCTTACATTCTCTTCTTATGACACAGGCATAAATAATAATAAAAGTAGTAATAATAATAATAATAATAGTAAAACTAACTGAAATAATTAAAAAGAAAAATTTTACTTTTTATAGATAGTTTCTGGTTTATTTTGTTCTTAAGCTACTAAGCGATATTTTAAAAAATTAAAAGGTGCTAAATATCGGCTCAAGTTAATCTCCATAACTTTGAAAATTTCCGTCAGCTATAGTGCTATAATTGATGCTTTGAACTAGCTTTTTTTGTTCATTTTAAACGCATTAAACTCGGTTCGAACACTCGGCATTTGTAGATTTTATAAATCAATGCAAAAAAAAAAACGAAACAATTGTATTCGCAAATGCGAATCATCACAAAATTTGCAAAATATTTAGTTAGTTGTGTCAGTCATATAAACCAGCGTAATTTTATTTTGAAGATTTTGGTGATTCTATTGAATAAATTCATCAAGACTTGTCTTAATATTTGTTGTCAGCTTCAAAATTGGAATTTTTGCTTATTATACCACTAGCAAGCGAAAATATTCAAATTTTGAGACAATTTACGCTTCAAGAACAGATGAGGGACAAGCAAACCGCCAGCTGAACAGGCACAATTAAGTGCATTCAGACTTCTGCATTTTTCATAAGTGTATATATATATGCTACGCGGCTTTTGAGTCATATCTGTGACCCTCGACATACAATACGCTTATGAGAACAGATCAAAAATATAAAAAAATTGAAGTCGCTTTGTATTTTTAATTAAACTAGATGAGAGCTTAACATAGGAATTTAGGGTTAGATATGACAGGCGCGAATTGAAGATTTAAGATGCCCATCGTGATCGTTCCGCAGAGAGGTAAATAAATGAGAAAATATGGGTAAGACGATGTGACTTTTAAAGCAAATCAATTAGATATATGTTGACAAATTTTATGTACTTCTGAGGTTGACTATAACTCAATGACATCAATTCAGCTGATAATATGGGAATTTTTGTTTTAGTATTTATTTTTAATTTATTTACTTTTGTTTTATAAGCATAAACAAAAAAAATTCATGAAGTAATACTTAGCTGTGAAAAGAAAAAACTAAAAAAAAAAGAAAAACTGCACAATAATTTCAAACATTTACTTAAGAAACTAAAAGGCTAAAGTATTAAAAAAGCACCAAAGAAGGAAAAAAAAGAGGAAAATCAAAGCATAAAGTTACATAATAAACCGAAAAAAAATTTACAAACACATATATATACATATACCTATATATACCCATATATATATATATATATACACCTATATATACCTATATATAGGTGTTTGCAAAAATTGTGATCAACGACGTCTACAGGTAAAAATGGTAAAGAAATAGGAAGTACCCAAGTACATAACTTCGTACATGACTTCGGTGATATTGACCTTCCTCTACATAGAATAATGTTTCTCCATTTAATATTATTGATTTATTCAGCGTACGCCGATGCTAATCAAGGGACACTCGAAGCACTTCTGCTTCTTCCAAATTCATTACTTTCGCTGTTTATTTGAAAAAATCTCTTGCCAAAGACCACGGGGCTTATGGTGATACTTGAACTATCGATTTTAGGTTCAACGTTTCAAAAGTGAATTGGCTGAATTGACTGAAAATGACGGTTTTTTGCCACTTGTTGCAAGTGTTGTCCAGAATACACTGGTGTAGCTCGAAAGGGAAGTGCTGCCACATCCAGCTTACTCACCAAACGTGACACCATCTAAATACCACTCGTTCAGATCGGTGTCGCATGGCTTGGCTGGCACACGCGGCCGTAAAATTGAAGAAGTTCGAAAATGGGTCGATGAGTGGATCGCTGCGAAACCAGTATAAATTCTTTCGACATGATATCGCTATGTTGCAAAAACTATTGCAAAATGTTGTAAAAAATGATGGAAACTATTTTGATTAATATACATTGTACCAATTTTCCACAACGAATGCCTTTTTCAAGTGAAAAAATGATCAACATTTTTGCAAACACCTAACATATATATATATATATATATATATATCCATTCATAAATGTATGTGTTTGTTAATAAAGCAAATACTGTCTTCGTAGCGGTGAGTGTGAAAGAAATATGTATACAAAAGAAACGAAAGACTTAAGAGAGAAACTTGAAAATTGTAAAATTGAGAAAAAGAAAAATGTTTTTTGAAAGCTTTGAAATGTTGTTTTAAGAAGACAACAATAATAAACGTAGCCATACATAACACGATAGTAATCTATTTCTTTTTTTTTTTTTTTTTTTGTTTTATTTACAAAACCGACATTTTAAAATCCATTTCACAAGCGGTGCCATGCACTGGTGTGCACCAAGCGTACCAAACGAATACCAAGCAAAGCAATTGCTGTTGGTAATTGGATATTATTTGTTTGAATGTTTGTATGTATGTGTGTGTGTGTATTTTTAAAAATTATTTGAGTTGTTGATTTTTTATGACGTTAATTATATTATTATTATAATATTATCTGCTATTATTGTTTTTGTTATTATTATTATTTTCATTATTATTATTATTATTATCATCGCTGTTATTGCTTTTATTATTATTATTATTATTATTATTATTATTATCATTATTACTATTTTCATTTTTGTTATTATTATTGCTAATATATTTTTATCATTATTACCCTTTATAATTATTATTATTTTATTTATTTATTATTTCCATCGCCGTCATCATTATTATTTTATATAACTCCATTACTCTTGCTTTGCGATTCATTTGGTTATATATATATATAAATATATATTCTTTCTTTTGTTAACTCACCCCCTATGCGGTTAAATTTATTGTTGCCTTTTGTCTAATTAGGCGGCCTGCCCGCGTCTATGCGGCAACTGCTCTTTGGCATTTTAAATTGTGTATTATATGCTACTTAAGCTGATGACGTTGTTGCCATTGCTTTTTCGAAAATCATAGAAGCAATTAACTGCTTTCACTTTAGCACATTAGCTTCTATTTAATTATATGATTTTACATGTATGTATATATACAAATAACATATAACTATCGGTTATGCTGTTGTGAAATAAATTTTACATTCATATTTAAAGCTCTCAATGCAATTCATTTTCATTTGCATTATAATTGCTAACATAAACCGATACATGCAGGCATAAATACATACAAGACCACATGCATACGCATGTAATGCTTTGTTTTTTAAAATTTTTTAAGATGGTCGAATGTGTTGTGCCGATCCGCAAGATCTATTCATATGTACATGAATATGCACAACGAATGTTACGCGGCATTTGTACAGGAATTTATACATATGCATATGCGTAGTTGCATTTTGTTGTTTAAATGTTGGTTTCAGGTTTTGTTTTGTTTTCCTTTGTTTTTTAAATTTTTTTTATTATTTTTAATTCGCCTTTGAAAGGGAAATTCGCTTCATTGATTTTTGAGTTACTATCACAAATTGTTTTTCTAAATGCATATTTTTGCATAATAATTAAAGACAATTTTTGTAGTTACATCAAGCATGTAGTATTTGTTAAGTGACTTATCATTTTATAAATTTTTTTAATGTTAAGAAGTTATGCAAAAGTAATATTAACTACATTTTTTGGTATACATCAGAAAGTCTTAATAATTTTTATAACGCAACTCTACCATCGATAAAATACAGTAGTTATTGTAGCCCTTTATTGTGAGGGTGCAGTGGGCGCATTAATATTTTTTTTTAAAAAGAAAGATCAAAAGAAAAATCTTTCATTATGCATAACTGAAATCAAGAACGCGATATAATTACAATATTTTTATGAAAATATCATTATGCTCTTATGCCATTTGAAACTTTTCTGAGCTCTTAACATTCTGTGAATATACCCTGGATTTTTCGATCTACACATACCGCCATAGTAACACTCCGTCGTATAACACCGACTTTTCAGATTACCATTTATTCGAAGGAACACATAATGATTTGATGAATAAATTCCTAAGTTTTCTGGCCGCTCGGTAAAGAATTCTAAGGAAAGGTGAAGTTTATGATACAGTTATTCAATAAACACAAACATTTTCGCTTATTTTCAATTACTTAAATATTTCTCATTTGAAATTTTGACGATTCTTACCACAGAATTTAACACCGACTCGTTATTATGTCGGTTCGATTTAACTCGTGCAATACAAGACCACATTTTTCCAAAATATACTATGACTATTTTAAAGCTTTCGCCGCTGAGTAGCCGAAGGCAGGAAATCACGACCAGCATCTCAATGGTCGTGGATTCGAATTTCAAGTGGGGGAGAGTTCCTAATAAAGCCGATAGTCTTAAATACTAGTGCTTTAAAATTCTAGTCTTAGAATTTATTTCTATGGCTAAATTAATAACAATAATAATATTTTAAAGCTTTATCCCTTTACAATAAATAAATAATTAATAGGAATATGATTTAATTTAGTTACTTTCCCCTAAAAATACCTAATTGCTATTAATATATCATAAGGGATAATAACGTGATCTTTTCATGTGAAAGCATGCTTTAGGTCGCTCCATATATGAATTCACAGAAGTGTATGCAGCAAAGTTTTTCCAATTTTTCCTTTTTTTTATTTATTTATATTTTTATATAATTGTCTAGTCAGGAGAGTTCCGCTTTACTTGTAAGCACGGTAAAAATCGGGAAGGGTTATAAGTAAAGGAAGAAGGAAATTAAGCTTAATACTTATGTATGTTCGAATTAAAAGTTCAAAGTGCGAGAAGTACGGTGGAAAGACGAGTGGCGATGGTAGCGTATTATGCGACAGACGGGCAAGCCCCTTCTGTCTCTTTACAATACTTATAAGTACTAATACGTAGGGCAGCACAACTTACTTTAAGCCGATTATCAAAAATATTGATTACCCATAAGTATCTGAGCTTTCCCCATTTAGTGAATTACCTCTTTATAGTGTATTGTGATTTACTTCAAGCCAACAAAAACATAAAAGTGTTTTCCATATGTCAAAAGATTCGATAATGAGTTTTTTCAGCGTTATAGATCATCCATCTAGGAAATGTTAATCGTATTGAACTGAAATATGCTGTCTTATCTTTCTTCCCAATTGGCACCGCTCTTATTATAACTTTGCTTGTCGCGATTCTCAAATATGAAATCTTTGGTGGATAACTGCAGCAATTTGTCCTTCCACCATGGAGTTTATACTCTGTCAAGAAGATGTGGAAATTGATTAACGATCGATAATAGTTTGAATGAAATATCCACCATTATTGTTGTTCTTCTTCTTCTTTAATAAACGTTCATTTTTCCTAAGAAAAATGTGACAAAAACTTCTTCAATCTCGTAATATTTAACGTAATGCAATTATTATATATATATATATATGTATATCTCAAAGTAAGGGGAGAGATAAGATTTTAATTAATTATCATGTTTATGAAAAAATCACTTTTGCAATTTATCATAACTGGGTTGAATTGAATGGAGAAATAGACGAGACAACCATTTTCGTATGGTGAATATTTGCGGAGGCAATATTTAATCTTTTGTTTGGTTATACAATCACCGGGCCATGTACAGCAAGCTTGCTTTTTTCTTTTTGTTTTTTTTTTTTATTTGCCATCAACTTACCAAAAAAAGTCAATAAACTTTAACAAAAAGGTATTTTGTGGTTTTTCTTATATAAAAAAAGAGCAATTTTTTTCTTTTTCTTAGGCTAACAATCGCTAAATAAGGTACGCGACAGCTTCAACTTTGCAAGCGTTGCACATACATATAGAAAGAAAAAAAAAAAAAAAAAAAAAAAATTATAATAAATAAAAAAATAACAAAAAAAGAAAAAAAAGAAACTTACGAAAACCTAAACCATTTATCAGCCGAAACATGAAAAACACGTTTTCACAACTTTTCATAATAGAGAAAAATCTCTAATGATGAGAAAGATGTAATATGAAAGCAAGCAGGCAAGCAGGCAAGCAAACAGGTATACTTCATATGTACATTTTCGATCGTAATAAATAAATTAGTCTTATCTGTTGTACTTAAATAAAAATCAAAATCAAATTTATTATGACGAAGATTGCACAAGGTCCAAGCCAAGCATAGATGCAGTTTGCTGTACATATGCTATAAAGGAAATGACCCTATAAACTATAAATATTTTAGGTACGACAACCTCGCTTACAGAGCTACATAGTTAAAATGATGCGCTTGGCAAAATAACTTAACAGCTTTTACATCAGCTCAATAGTTAACTAGTAACGAGGTTGCATAACATCATCAACACAATAGCAACAGTTGCCAATATTATCACAACATGTTTACATTTAATCGTTACAAGCAAACTTTTCAAGCTTAACCGAATAGGAAAAATTTTTATTAATTATTTTTTAAAAGAGCGAAAAAAAAGAAATGTTTGGGAAATTGTTCGATATATAATTATGTGTAAAATTTCCTTTACAAGTTATGATGACTTTTTATGCATAATTGTCTTCGTTTTTATAGGAACTGCCACGTGCAGAAGCTCTTATGGGTCGCGAGACTAACGATGATAACGATTTACAAAATCTTGATAGGGAACAGCCCGTTAAGAAGGTTGAAACGAAAGTTCAAAAAAGTTCAAACGTAATACCAGCCGCTGCTGCAGTTGAAGAAGAAACCAACAATAATGAAAACAATTATTTGGACAGCGAAGAGGCTGATGAAATGCAAAAATATCCGGGAAAACTACCATTGGAATTAGACTTAAGTGATTTAGCTGCTGCTCTCTTACAAAACAATAAAAAGTAAGTTCAAATATATTAAATCTGTGAAATATTTGAAAAAGTTTTTGAATTAAAAAGTAGTAATTCATTTACGCTTACTTATTTAAATATCTTCTTCTTATCTAAATATCTTGATAAAATTTACGTTCTTTTTTCAATTCTTTATTTCAGATCTCGCATGAATTGTGTAGTTGAACGTAAACATGCTGAAGAACTTGTAGATTCGCCTTCAAAAACTGTTACTTTACCGTTTGGTATGAATTTGACCACCGATCCGAAGAAAGCGCGCATTACTGGTGAGCGTATTTCCATATTTTGCGAAGGAGGCAATGAGAATAAGGAACATGAATCAGCGAAAACTCATAAAAATCGCGAAGAGGAAGATGATAACGATGATGACACAGAATCTGTACGCCCCATGTTTATACCAATACAACGGGTACCCATACCATTCGGTCCCATACCACATCAATATCCATTAACTCATATGCCACATCGGGCGATGCCACCCCAAATGCAACATCAAATGCAGACACCGCAAATACAAACTTTCTTACGTCAGATGCCACCACCACTACCACCATTCCAACAATTGCCAATGCGTCCCCCTATGCCGCCACAAGTTATGCAAGCTCCTCCTCAACCAGAATTACAACAACAACAACAACAACAGCCTCAACAACGTATTGTACGCATTCACGTTCAACAGATTCCCATGCGCGAAGTGATACATACTGCCGATGATGTACCCATACAAATTGCCACGCATAACATGGCCGCTGCAGCGCAACAACAACAACAACATCAACAGCATATACAAGCCCAACCACCGACGCAACATCAAATACATGAACCACAATTAACTCAACAACAACAACATCAGCAGCAGCAACAGCAACCAATTCAACGTCAGGAAATGCCATTTCTTCAGGTAAAGGAGTATGTGAAGCAATTAGAGAAAAATCGAAGTTTAAATCTTACATTAACTAAAGAGACAAACTATTGTTGCTTTTATTAAATTACGAAATCACTTACGGAGCGCTTCATTTTACGTATGCTATTATCATATATAGAAAAGTACCGAAAGTACTGTCATGTTCAGTTTACTGAAAGTATTCAATTAAATATCGTTAATTTATTCCAAATTTTCAATTTAGATTCAACGCATGCCCTTAGGAATGGCTTTGCAACACGCTGGCATTACAGCCGAAGATTTAGCCAATATTCAACGTATGACTGAAGAGCGTATGAGTGAAGTATTGCGTCACTTGACTACCGAATCTGATGAGGATAATAGTAATAGTTCAGAAGAAGATGAAGATGATACCCAAACTCGAGCGCAACCCGCAAATGGTGAAGAGAAAATCCAAGAACAACAGTCACGTCAACTGCAACAACAACAGCAACACCTCCATCAACAGCAGCAATTGCAAGGAGAACGTCAAGCCCGTATGCAAGAATTACCAATGCAAAGACTTATTTTGCAACCACTTCCCGAACAACCCCGCGATATTATGACACCACCTATTGCCGATCAAACCATGAGTCGTCTACCTATCGGCCATACAGGTTATGGACGCAGCTTGGCTCAACCTGTACGTATACCTGTACCCATGGTGCAAGCCCAACCTGATTTATCAACACAAGAAGATCAATCTTCAGTTTCATCTTCTATATCAGCTGCTTTAGAGGAGTCTGAAAGACACCACTGTAAGTATCTCATTGAGAAATGTACTTGGATTAATGACACAGAAGAAATAAAAACTTGTTTTAGAACTTCGTTCGTTTTTTTTCTTTTTGTTCCTTTCTTTTTACACCGTTTTCCAGTTGTCCAGCCACGTTCAGTTTAAAGATGTATACAGCAGATCGATCTAAATACATTCCCATATATACCACATATACACAACAAGAAGACCACTGATATATGTGTGTGCGAGTTTACATAACAGCTGTGATCGAAGTTGCTGCTCCACAATCCATATACACTTTTTCCAAGCAGCTAAAATATATAAAATTTTCTATTGGTGGATTTTTCTCCATTTTTTTTTTTTTTTTTTATTTGTTTTTGTGTTTTCTTCTATATAAAATAAAATTGCTATAACAATTTATGTACTATATAGAAATGTTATATATCTTCATATATATAAAATTTTTTAATTTTTTTTTCACCCATTTGCTATATTGTTGTTGTATGATTAAAGTAAAAACCGGTTTAGTTGGTAGAAGTAAAATATAATTTTTATGTAAAATAATGAAGGTAAAAGAAAAATTTAAATAAAAGTCGCGAAAAGAATTTTTTTTTTTTAAATTTAACAAAAAAACCGGTTTGTAAATTTGTAAATAAATTTTTTAAATTTTGATGAGTAATTGCGTTTGCTTTTCTTAAAAATAATGGCGTAGTAAGGGCAATGAGAAAAATGTGTGCGGCCTATACTACCTCTTTCGTCTTCTTCTTAAAAATTGATGAAAAATATCTCTTTTCTTGTCTGTTAATTATGAGCAAGCATGTAGACTGATTCAGACTAATTTCGCCTTCCTCTTCTAATCGACTTTAGGCAATATTCATGCAAAGCTTTTTAAAATAATCTTTATTAATGTTAAAACCATGTTTCTCCTTCAATTGTATACATACCCACCTACTTGAGAACCTTATTTAGAAAATCGAACTTGGTAACCAAATGTTGTATTTTTCTTTTGCCTAACAAAACAGTAAAAACGCTGTATTGGGGCACGGCCCACCATTACCTACCCTACACCATCCTACGCTGATTTTGTGTGGTGGTCCAGAAAGTAGTCCGACGACAACCATTTTCAATAGCGTTCGTCTTTGGGCCAAAACACGTCAACGTAGCGAATTTCATCAAAATCACCAAAATACATTTGTACACACTTGATATACCCTGGCAGCACAACTAGTGTTACGTATAACAAAATGTTGTACTCCATTTAAATCAAAATTTATTTTAGTCAATTGTTCCGCCAATCATGGGCGTGTTATTTCGCTCACACCTGAATAGTGATTGTTCCATTTTTTTTATTTATTTACTTTTTTTAAGATTTTGTTGGATTTAGATATTGAACATTCAAATCCTACCTTAGATCCACATTTTTCGAAATATTCTTTTAGTGTTTTAGATCATGTCCGTTTTCAAACTTGCCTGGACATTGCGTGTGTGCCACATTCCTGGCTTAGAAGGTGACGTAGCCTATTAAAAATACACTTGACATATATATTGGAAACCTAAATTTTAGATTAGGTTAATGATAAATGGTAAGATTATTGCAATCAGTAAACCAGATGAAATACAGCACTAGCAGGAATCGTGAATATCTGACTTAAATCTTTCCTTCTGTGAAGAAAACCCCTTGCGAAGGAACGCTCTTCTTAGAAACCCTGAAATTGAAAATCCGCTTTCATTGTTGATAAATTGTTTTGCACAGGCTAGGATATTCAAGCGACGTATGCTATTTATGTAAAATTGCTGGTCCAATACCTTTGTTCGATGTGCCAGTTGCATAATTTCTCATCCTCTACTGGATGTTGCAATTTGTTGCAATCTATTGTGTAAATGTTCAAGTCGTTACAAGTAGATAATCTAATGCAAGAATATAACGATTTTACCCTTTCACAGATGTTCTTAACTCATTCCAACGAATCACCTGACATAGGGTGATATATTAGCAAAACGCTGCAATGTTTACGCGTATCTAACTATATATATTGTTAAAGGAAACCTTCTCTGTTTTCTCTGGCTCGTAGAAACACATATCCATCATATAGTTCACAATCACACAGAAATATAGCCATTAAATACACTTTTATCGATATGTAGTGGATTTTGAAAGATTTTGTCGAACGTCATGTCCAAACAGATTTGGGGATGCCATAAATCTTGCCAGCTGTGAGACTCACACGATCGAATCAGGACAGTAACAATAACATCGAGATTTTAGACCTTATACGTGTATACCATTCAGCATTACATTAAGAATAATAGATAAGACTATTCCATTTTAGGTGAAATAAAAATCATTTTGAATTGTTTGAATGCAACGTAAGTCCGTTTCACGACACCCAATATTTGACTTTCTTAGATCATCAATTAATTTTAACGCAACATCACCTATTGTCTCAATCCTTGAAGTTATATAAAGCTGCACATCCTATGCATGCATTTAGACACTATAGTGCTTAACATATTTGTGCGAATCAATAAAATACAGCGTGTAAGATTGGGGGCGCAGTATTGATGCTTACCTATAATTATATATATATATATTGTATATGTATATATACTTTACAATACGTAACTAGTGTTAAAAAGACTTCAAAGCTTTGTTCGCCTATATTTCCATCTCAGGCTCTAAAATCAACTAAATTAGGCCATTGTTTCGTGCACCATTATTAAAATCTTAAATTTAGGAACATATTTAATAAAACAGATAAGCAAATCTTTAATACCTACCAGGATAAATTAATGCACAAAAATGTATTTTGGTAACCGTAATGATGCTCAACTAGCTTGTCGCGATCATTTTGATATACCGGTAAATAATTGCAACAACTCTTGAATCAATATCCGTTGCAGGTTATACGTTGCAGTCTTTGCTCCTTGTAATGAATCTACAAAAAGTTCTCTTTTAGATTATAAATTATGCATTGACATGTGTGTATTACTGCTAATTGAGTCTACACCTTGAAGAAAAACATATGAGATTTTTGAAATCTTCCAGTTCCTTTTTTATGCAATAAACTTTACAACAATATTAGAAACAATATTGGGATAACAGAATTTAATAGTGAGTTTTAAAATTCGGAAAATAAATACCTTTCAGAGAGCAGAGAAACATACCTAAGGAAAGGCGAACTGGAGACCATTTTTTTCAAAAACGAAATAATATTGTAAATGCTGCGTTTTGTTTCTTTAAATAATTTATTTAATTTATTTTATTTGTTTATATTTGTTTTTTTTTTTTTTTTTTTTTTTTTTTTTTTTTTTTTTT